AAAGGGGAGGGAATCAGCGTACAGGCACCCATCCCTGGCTGTGCTCCAAATATAAATTATCTCACCTTTTGTTTTGTTGCTATATAAGTAAAGGTAGCTACATATGTTCCACCTCAGGAATGCACAACTTGCTCTATTCATCATAGCTATAAGAAAAGAGACACTGAAAGATCAAAAACATAAAAAAATGTAGCAGTAGGCTAACGTCTATAGCCAAGTTCAATGTTTAGTTAGAATCCTATTTTGTTCTGACATAACTTAAAAGCTCTTTAACTCGCTTGCTTAATAATTTTTGGGTCAAATTATTACTAGAGCAAACCAACAGTCATATTCTTCAATCTTCTGGGCCTCACTGCAAACAAAACCACTCACTGAAGACTTTTTAGTTCTTTTGAAGCCTTCCTCACTTTTCTTTGTAAGTTTTGCAATAATTATTGAAGATCCTAGGCAAAAATTGGTTTTCCAAAGCAGGGGTCTGTGTTGGCCAAAGGAAGAAAAAGCTCTAGAAATGATGGAACTTTCTAGTAATTGCCCTGCTGTGAGCTCCTGGCAGCTGCAACTCTAAACAGCTGGGGAGGGAAAGATGTATCCTCCAACATACCGGGACCACAAGATACATCAAAATATTAATTAAAGCTGATTCAGACTACAGAGGTCATTCTCTTCAGCAATTGGGTTGTAATGAAGAACTGACTGACAAGGAATCTCCAGAGGTCTTCATATCAAATTGAAATGTTAGTCTACTAATACATTTAATACATGAAGTAAGAACATGATACATGCTTTAAGATCAGCATCAAAGGAGACTACCACTTGCTGTGCCAGATACTGAAAAGAACACCCACTTTGCTAACATTGCCCCTAAAAGCAGCTAAAAGAATCCTTTTATTGTTCAACTTATTAACAAAAAACGGACAACAATAAAGCAGACTCACTAAGACGATTCTGCTACCTCTGCTTCTCCTGAACATTCTCTATAGTCTGTCAAACATAGGTCAATTCTGCCTCCACTGGGCTTCAGCCAGCTGGCCCTAAGGTAGAATCCAAACAAGCACTTTAGGAAAACGGAGATCTTCAGAGACGAGATGAGAGCTACACCTAAAGACCAGATGGAAAAGTGACACTGAGCAGAGTGTCATCATCACGTTGACAGGACTTTGACCCAGACTACCTTGCTGTCTCTTCCCAGTGGCCAGGAAACACATTAAGCAGCAAGGATGACATAACAGAACGCAGTAAGAAAGAACCTTGTAGAACAGAGGATCAAGAGCTCAACACAAGCTCTGCAGGAAGGAAAGAACTGTCAGCTTTATCTGCTAGCCCTGCTTTAGGCCACAGTTGTGGCTGAGTCCACAGTAAAAAACAACAAAAGCAGTCTACAGACCCAAGCACTATGTCAGTCATCAAGATGTAGACCTGCTCCTCTGTCATTACAAATTCAAAGCAAGTTTGAAGGGTATCTGATAATGTTATCCTATCCTAAGGTAAGGTGCCTACTGCTTTTGCCCAATACAATAAGAATAAAACAAAAAGAAAGCAAAATTTTATGAAAAGAATTAAAATTTGTCCTAACCTACAACTAGCAATGATCAATCCCCTAAGTTTGCAGCACCAAAGGACAACTGTTAGTCACAAGGCTCCTATTCAAACCCACGGGAACAGACTGAGTAAATCTTCATATATCACTTTGAAATCCTACCAAAAAAAAGACTCACGACTTCTCATTCCTGTGTCTCAGTTGTGAAAAAAAATGAAGTATGTGCATAACTGACTACATAAATATACCTCTAACTGACCAGGTAGTGTCAACTTAGGCACATCAAAATGCTGCTGAGGCAATTATATTCTATTTAATAAATTTGGAGTGTTTGCCTTAAACACCCGTCTGTGTTAACAGATGTTGCTCCAGCTGAGAAAGGGTTAAGAGAATTGCAAGGCTGCTAATAAGTGAATACTGATGCAGTCAACTCATTATCCCAACTCTAGCAAAGAAAGATATGAGAGGAGTTGATCAGAGAGCTTAGGGGAAATCCAGGTAGCAGCAGAGATTTTGAAACAGATTTATGGTAGTTCATTTTGAAGATTCTGGTACACTAGAGATAAACCTAAATGCCTTAAGAGGATGAGTAATCCTTGCAACAGTCCATGTTTGGAGCAGGGTAGAGAGAACGCCTTACCATAGTGCTGCCATTCAACATTTCAGCTGCTAAGTCTTTCTTGATAGATATTGAGAGGAAGCAGTGGAGGCAAATAACTACAGAGAGGTCTAAATATTAGCAATACAATTGTTTGAAAAAGACTCTGCTTTCAGCAGAAGGGAAATTCAGAGTTACCATAGCAGCCACCTACTCTCAAGAGAAGGGGAAAAAAGTGAAGGAAGACTATAAAGATCTTAGACGAAAAAAGAAGCTATTGTTAACAAGACAATATGCACAGATGCTAGGTGATTGGGGCATGGCTGCACTTAAACAGAATGAGATAGAGAACTATTTGATAAAGGATAGGTTCTGTTTTTAAATGGGCTGATTGGTGAAATCACACAAGTCTGACTTTGTTTACTTCGCTCACTCACAGACCAAGGATTCTGAATCAACTTGAGGCTTGTTTTTATCTTTAAGCTGGTTGCATTTGGTGCACAACTGGCTGAAACGTCCATGGAAGATTCTGTAACAATCCCTCTCTCTCTCTCAAACATTTCTGTTAAACAAAAAGAGAGCACATTTTGTATCAGAGATGATATGCTCATGAACTCAGCCACTGAAGGCTGCTGTTCAAATACAATAGGCTCATGCTAGCTGAGTAATACATGGAGCTCATTATGTCCATGCTCTCAATAACTTTTGTACCATGGCTCACACAAGACTAGGCTACTGTTTAAATCTTCTACACCAGTGAATAACCATAAGAAAATTGTTATTCAGGGCCAACTTTCCTGATAAACATCATGACAGTGTGAGGACATGACTCCATATATTGCAACATTGCATTTCTTTCCCCGATGTATAGCAAACAGTAATAGTTTTAGCTGCAACAATGCACCAGGATTTTTAAAAAGGACTCTGCCAATATTGCGCCAAGGATGTAAATTTACAGACTAGAATCTAAGTTGATACATCACAGCAATTTTTACATCATGCAGTCTTTAACAAGAATTCAGAAATCCTGTCGGCAGTCTGTAGTGCTTTAGTTAAACGATGATACTGTTCTCATACAATGATACAGTAAAAAATTACAAAGTCATGAAATAGATCATATTAGTTTTCATCTTTGATGTTGCTAACTATAATAATCACAGATGATTTGCTTAAAGCACTCTTAACCATGTCAAAAGCCACTAATACTAGATATTAGATATTAGTGACTACCTTTTTTTTTTTTTTTAAAAAAGTGTATTAGTACTGTTTTCCATTCTGCTCTGCAGTGGCTGAACAGTTTGTTTCCTTTAGTTACTGTGACTCATGGTAACAGTGGAAATCCAACATTACAGATGGATGAGAAAAATAGGAGCAATTAAAATGAAGAAAGCTGAATATTTTCTAAAATAGCTTGGGCCAAATTTAGAGGTATGTTTCAGTGAAGCAAAGCCTTAGATATTTCCCCAAATAAAGACAGTACTATCAAGAATCCTACACTTGCCTCAAGTTAGCATAGAATTTTATTGCTCATCTCTTATTTGCAGATAACACTTTTCTGTACTAATTGATGATCGACACGTCTTAAGCAGACCTTGCTCAAAGGAACTTCTGGTAAATGTCACTGTCAGTGTTGCCAATTTTAAGCCACTGGCACTAAAATCATATCTAGAGGCATGGAGCTGGCACACTGGAAGCGACACGTGGCTGCATGGGCTTGGGATCTTTGCCATGCTGGCAAAGAATTAAAGAATTAAAAGTGAGCTTATTAAATATATATGCTTAAAGCAATACACCCATAAAAACATACATATATACGTACATACATATATATGCATGTATATGTGAAGGCCACTATTCAAATACTGAGGAGATCTAAGGGATGACACCTGTAATGGTCACAGAGGTAGACATTTGCCTTGTTTCCCACAGATGCTATAAGGGAAGCCTTGGCCCCATCCAATGGGCTATAATGAATCATGATTACAAGCACAAGTAAGGTAGGAGGTTCCCACAGCGGTGTCCCTGGGGATAACTTTACTAAGAAAAAAACGTGCTGCTGCTTAAGAATGGAAAGGTGTGCATGGCAAGCTAAGTCAGGGAGTATTACACTGATTTACCTAAGCGATCACTTCCCTGTCACCTGCCTCCCAACACTTCTGAATAGCCTCAAGAACAGATCTGATGCCAGCCAGTAAGCAGCAGTTTTTATCCCAGCCCTTCTTGTATCAGGGAGGGGAGAAGGAAGAAGCGTTGGGTTGTCATGTTGCCCACTTCCTTGCAGAATAAGAGCCAAGCTGACTTTACATGAGGACTGAGGTACCCTACAGATAGCAACTCTGTCACCTACTGACGTGCCCAGATGCTCAGGAAACCTGCGGAGATCGAACAGTTACATATACCCTCTCTTCTGCTTCACCCGACCAAAGAATACAGCCATTTGCAGTTCTACTAATCTGTACTGCACTAAAACACTGAAAGGGATCACTAGCCATCACGGACAATACCTGGCCTTACTCCCTACCACCCAACACGGACTCCTCTTGCATTCTCTGAAAATCAGGAAAAAGTAAACCAAGAAGCTGGTTATACTAAATCTATAATCCTCTTTGGAAAAATTATCCTCTCTCAGCATCGCCCTAAAAGCCTACTTAGCTTTCAAGATTCAGAAGACCACTGCATCTGTAACTGGCAGAATAATCTAGTCCAATGAATCAGATTCACAAAGGCCTCACAAACCCATAGAAGACTCACATGGATACAACCAATTAACAGTTGTCTTATCTTCCCCCCATTCTTTCCTGCCCCCATATTCTTAGCCACGTGCACTCAAAAATAGAGCGATGTTAAATGGTACAATATACTTACAGCCAGATACATAGCTGCATATACGCTCAGTGCTGCTTCTTTGGATGGGAATGTCTTTCTGGCTTTCGTGATAAGGTCTGGGTTTCCAGTACAGGCATGTACGCTACTGATGAACTGTGTATACTGTTTACATCCAAGTGCTGTATAGTTGGGTTTACAAAGTGCAAGAAAATGCGGTGCAAGGTTTCCTGTTACTACTTGTCCAGCATTTACAAAGATGTCCGTAGCAAACAGTCCAAACGCATAAATTCCTAAAGAAGGAAACAAAGAGTTAAATTTCCCAACAATTTCACTTTATGATAATGTACTACAGTATTTATCATAGTAATAATACAGCGCCTTCCATTTAAGAACATAAACATGAGGGTAAAGGGCAAGATGGTACCCTAAAGACTCTATCTCATGTGGGAGATGGTACATTCCTACACAATCCCAGCAGCAACACCGCAATGTGCCCACAGGGCTCACCTCTCTCCATCCTTAGGAGGAACATGCTCACCTCTTGTGCAAGTAGCCCACTTTCCTAGGCCCCATCCATGAATCTCCCCAACTCTTCAGCGTAGCTAGCCAAACTGGCACCAAACCTTTGTCCACGTTCACTGAACAGAGAAATGACAGAAGCAGATTCTTCACCCCACAAATCTGCTTAGGAACCAGAGAAGTCAGGCCTTGATAGCTAAGTAACTTGAAAAGCTATTATACATACTGGACAAACGTTTTCTTTTCCCTCTCAGCTGTAAGGAAGCTGAAATGCTGAATAATTTAATATAGCCATGCACGAGTTGTCTTCATCTGCCTACCACTGGGCACATCTCTATGCACGGCATGTTTACCACGATATCAATGCAGTGAGGTAAAGATCTACACATTTGAGGACTGCTTATGCTAAAGGGTTTTTTTTAATCAGAAATATCAGCAAAGCATTAGGCACGCGTACACGTTCATTAGAATGGAAATATATGTATCCGATTACTCAAAGGAAAAGATATTCTACTATTTTGAGGTATCTTTTTACCCTTTTGGGAGTGGAAAGCCAGCACTGGAAGGAAATGCAAACACAGCCCCCTGACTGGGAGGCTAAGCCAGCAGATGTGTGTTCCAGTTCCAGCTAAGCTGCAGATTCCCTGTATTTCCATGGGCAAATCACTCTACTCTTCCCATACTTCAATTCACTGTGAATATAGCGTGGGTTCTGGCAGTTCCCAACTTCATGGGGCACTGTGAGGATGACATTAATGAATACACACCATAGCAGAGAAGACTGCCACAGAACCACGTGTGTTTCTAAAGGCCAGGTTTTTTCCTCAGCAAAGCTAGATGACCCAGAATGATTTCTGGGATTCCAGCTGGTCAGCAAAGTCACCCTACTGTTAATTCATCTTGAGCTGCTAGACACTAGTGAGCAACAGGCTGTGTCAAGCCAAGTCACTGCATAGGAGGGCCTTTCAGCAAACCCTGGGGCTGTGCACTGCCCTGAAATAGGTGGCCACATCAGCTTCTGTGAGCATAATGCATAATGATGCCTCATCTGGTGGAATGGTGTGGGGGCTGTTGTTCAGCCCTTCCCTCCTTCCCAATTTGTTTTCGCTTCTATGAGCAAGAAGGGTCCATCAAGTGGGAAGTAAATGCAGGGACTGATTATAAACAGGAGCAGGAGGAGCTCCTCAGCTTCCCACCTCCTCGAGATCCCTGCAAGACAGTCTCACTCCTAGTGATTTTCAGCACTCCCATGTAACAGAGCCTAAATTCACTAACCAGCTGCAATCGCACTCTCAGAAGGCAAGCACAACTGTCTCACAAATACTCAGGCTGCAAATACAGACACAGCTATATGCCCCCTCCCTCTCGTCTGCCCCTGGGACACTCAGGAAGATTAGCTGCCCCAAGGCTTCGTTCCTCCAGCTGTTTCTCTTAGATACAACTGTGAGTGAGAAGCAAATAGCAGACAAATTGAGCCCTACTCTGGCTTCTCTACGTGTATTAAAAAGCAGCATTTGAGAATAATTCAACAGACATTGGGGGTGCTTCCCCCTCCCAAATATATTTACAATGAACTATGTAGAAAGGATGACATCTGAGAGCTACTAAAGTTGATGGGGTGTTTACAGCTGACTTCAGTGGAGCTAAGATACGCAGTTACCTATTATAGATCATAATACAGGCTCTAGGTTAGGAAAGTACTTAAATAGTACTTGGCTTCAAACATGCATTTAAGTCCCAATGTCTTCAACTTTGGCTACTATCTGTGTGCACAGCCAACAAAAGCTATTGACTATAAGATACAGCATCAGGATATTTCCCTTCTCCATTTCATCCTACTCCAGGCCGGCTGACCATGTTTCCCCATTGTGGTCCCAATTCTTTTTATTTTTACTGCAGTTTCTGCAACTAATTTTTTATCCAAACTTCCTAGAAGCTTATTTTGCTGCCCAAAAGGAGAAAAATCATGGCATCTGAGTTAGGATTACACGTGAAATGTTGTATGGTTATCTGAACATTTTCCCCAGGTCAAATTTAATACATAATTAATTGCTCATATTGTTCAAAAAATGGAAGCATTAACTTTGCTCATACCAAGGAATCTGATGGTTCTGCGCACTAGTGGATTTATATAACAACAGTCTCCAGTTAATATTGTTTTTTCTTGGTTTTCAAAGTCCTTTGTAGCCAACTGTAGACAAAACACCGCAGTTTCTCCAACGATAATCTTCAGGAGAGGGAAAAAAAGGGTGAGAGAAATGGTTCATAAGATTATTGCAAGTAAAATATACCAATATTACAGAGACGGCTATCTTAAGGAAGCAAAACCAAACCAACACAAAAAGCCAACATAAGTGAACCAAGTTCTGTATTTTAATCTTCTTATGAGGGAAATATGCCATATGGTTTGTTTTACTTCATCTGCATTAAAAGAGAACAAATTTCTATAGCCAGGACTCGGAATCAACATAACATAACATAGTTTTCAGGATGAGTGGATAAAAGTAAGTAATCTATTAGCTCAAGAACAACAAATTACATAACACACAGGATGTGGACCAAAGCATCAAAACTAAAGGCTCAAACCTGTAAGGTGCTAACAGTCTTTCAGTTCCCACATGGCTTTCTCTGACATTCAACAACTCACAGGGATGGGCTCTAAATTCTGGGCCACACAGGAAATATTCACTGCATATCTCCTGTTCATAGTAAAGGACTGGTTTGCCAGTAGGTACTTTATAATAGAGTTTGATTCATATTTTGCGACCCAAGTTTGTCAAACCTGGTTTTAGCTTTGAATGAAACGTCACCACTGATATTTTGGCATTAAGCATGGCCTTTATTACACCAAAATGAATACAGGTTTCATTTCTATAGCTCGTGCACATTTCAGTCACTGAAAAATAAAAACTTCCACAAATACAAAAGAAAAATATATAGATTTTGAATGTAAAAGATCTCCTATAAGAGGTATATATTTTCCTGTACAGCTAAACTCTGTCCTTAATTTACTTATGACAATTATGGTGTTGATCCCTAATAGCCAAGAACAAATCTTAAGTGTATATCTATCTAAACCTGTGATATTGACAAAGCTTTACTGCAGGTAAAATAGGCATGATCGAAAACAGTAGAGCAGACGGGTCAAACTGTGATTCACTGTGGGACTTATGGCAAGGTTCTTCCTCTCTTCTATCTGAAGAGCAATAAGGCTTATTCATAGCTACATCACAAGTTGATAAATAGTAAAGACCACCAGGGAAGTATAGTCTTAATACTGTGTCCTAATACAATAAACAATGGTGTCAAATCTGATTCATTGCCTAAGTTTATTTCTAAACTTCTGACCTAACAGGATATTACAAACCTTTTCATATATCACAACAGATCTGAACAATTTTACACATAGCGTTATTTACAAAAAACTGCTTACAGGCAACTTTGGGGCAACGACCCATAAATATAGTTTGTTTGTCAACAGGAGGAATGCAATTAATGACCTTACTTAGTTATTCTTAGATCTACGCAGATGACTTTGGGCTAAATTGTGACACACAGAGAAGAAACAGCTTTTCATATGTAATGTGAAACAAGTAACAAAAATAACTTGGATGTGGCAAGTGTGTAAAAAGCAAAATTCAGTTTGTCACAGAAATAGTCATCATCCATTACTTCAAACTGACTTCAGATCCTAGTGGCTTTTTTAGATGAAACAGACATTTCAGTACCTGGGCTAACAAGTATCCTCTCTCTCTACTTTAATGTAAGCCAAATTTCCAGCATCCAGAGGTACAATTCCTTCATCTATAATTAACAAGTGATCAGTACACACATGTAACGTAATTCAGCCTTGAATCCAAGTTCATCAAAATTATGACAATGATGAGGAGAACTCAGCGCAATGACTCCTACAGCCTTTGTGAAAGAAAAACAATTCTAAAATGATTCATAAAGGTGAGAACTGAAACACTTTAAGATCTTTACTGTGAGTCATAGTAACTCCCTTCTTTCCTTTGGAATAATGAAATGTCTAGGACTAGGCAACGTGAACATAGTCAGATTCTGCTTTTAACTGCTTTGTTGCCAAACTCAATAGATTTCAGTAAAATTATGGTAGATTTCCAAGTTATAGGACAGAGCAGAATCCAGCCCAAAGAAAGCATGTGTGAGATACAGTGCTTAAGTCCTTGCAGAACACAGGCAGAAAACGTCCCTGCAAGCTGAACTCCTCAGCTTTGAGCGGAACATCTGAATATGCTGATCTATGAATATAGGTTCTTCCTTTTGACTTGCAGGGAAGCTGGGGTTAGCAAATGAGAGAACTGTTCATTTAATTATCCCAAATGTCAGTACAGGACAGAAGATCTTCTCTTTCATCAACTGGTCTTCATTAGCTGTATGTGGGCCCTGGCTGCTGGCAACAATTTTTCCTTGCCACGTTTCCCATCTCCAATGGTAACCTGGATGAAGAAAACCCACTGCTCTAAGAATAGCAGAGACCAGTATTCAAGCTCTTAACAGACCTAAAATACTCTGATAGCAGGTAGGCAGGTGCAAGGGTCAGGATGATGCAGAACTCGGCTAAAGACAAAACATTTATTATACTAGGCCTAGTGCTCTACTTCAGAAGCAATGTGAGTGGGATTTCTGCATACACATTCATAGTTCTTTCCTGTTAACATCTACTTTAGGGTATATAAACTTTCACGGACTATTTCATACAGGCCAGGATATGTTGTGGGATACTTGATTACCACTCTGCCATTTCTCAGGGTTACACTGCAGCTACAGTAACTGCTCAGATAGATGAGTAACACTGAAAAACAGTTACTACACTAAAAAGACTGTTGAATATTCATATTAAACTGTTGACAATACAGTGTATTGTAATTTCTCTTCTCATTTCCCTTTTTCACTCATTGCATTTCTCTCACGTAGGCCTAACACAAATCTTAACCAAGAATTCAGAGAGACCACTTGCAAGAAATTACATGACAAGGGATTCTCCCTTTGGAGAATGAAAGTCTCGCTCGGTCCGCAACTCTTTTTTTTTTTCTCTCTGGAATGAACTTGCTCATACTTCCTTGTAAGGCAGAAAAGGGAGAGCTGACAACCAAAGCCAAAACAAAGACTTCTGTAATAGGCAAACAGATGATAAGCAGTTACTAGTCTTATGTTGCATCCTATTCTCCCCCTCCCCCATCCATTGGTTTTTGTTACGAGGGGTTATGAGTTTCCCACTTAAAAATGTAGGGCAGATTTCTTTCAAGAGCGTAACTTTCATATGCATTGTTGTTTTTGTTCTTTATCTTTTCCTTTTAACAGAAGGCAAGATCATGGGCTGTTTCTGGCCTATTTCCCCTTTAAAAATCTCATCAATATACCATACAGCATGGTGACCTTTACAGGTTAGAAAATCTAGCAGCATAAACCTTGTTCCTTAGTGATGCTGTAGACAAGCTCCACTCTCTCCTTTAAACTAAAATTGCTGTGGGAGGTGACAGCTCTGGCAGGAAAAGCAGTAACGGTATATCCAGCAGTAGCAATTTCAAGTTCATTATACAGAGCTTTCCCTTGAGGCCATTTTCTTTGTGTTTTTCTTGTACTCATTGCTTCCTGCTTGCTTAAACTGACAGCAAATGCCCTGGTTAATTTCCACACAAGTACATTTTCTGAAGTAAAAAATGACCAGAAGTTTTGAGGAAAACAAACAAACAAAAAAACGCTTAGATAAATCTGTCTGCTATTGATTAAATATAAAATACCCCGCTTCATTCAGCATAAAGAAATAGGACCCTACTGCACAGCAGCTTGTGAAAGTGGAGAGAAAAGAAAACTCAGTAGGGTGGTTTTTTTTCCAGAAAATGTTATTTTTGAAAATATGTACTCTTCCTCTCAATTTTTTTGAGAAAATTAATATCAAATTTTTAATATGGTTCTTGGTATTTATTTGGTCATGGCCACTTTAAAAGAAAAATATTGGTATAAATTTATATGTCTAATAGTCAAATATTATCTGCGTTAATGATTTCTTTATAGTACACAATATGGTATTTATGCCATTAAACACTAATGTTACTTCTGATTGGGATAAATATTCTTTACTGCTCTTTATGATACATTGTCATTATGTAATAATGGTAAAAGTTGCTCATTTTATACAAATTTTACTGCTAGTGAGAAGTGCATATTAGCCCAGCATTCATAACCAGAGAGCTTCAAGGGAACCTTGTGAGTACTTAACCAAATAGAACTGACCAACTTTGTCACTCACCAACTTTGTTACTCACTCTTAGTCACTGAACTATCTTCATTCGTTACTTTATCATATGACAGACAAAAGTTAAATATTTTTAAATAAAGTATCTAAAAGGTTTTTTTTTTTAGCTGAGCTATTGATCGTGCATGTAAATACCTTCTCCTCTATAGAACGCTTGCATGATCTAACAGATAAAGTCTCTGTATGGCACATTGCTACCAATAATGGATCCACACAACAGAAGAGCAAAGATCATTCTGAGATATAGTTATCAGAATTCTGATATTGTGAGTGTAAGTAGAGGAACTGCCTTGCGCCATCACCACAAAGGGCCAGAAGGCAAGTCCTGGCTTCCAGCATATGCGGTTGTGTGTCTGATGCTCAACACCAGAAGAAGAGGGGAGAGTGTGCAGCACCATGGAGGAGAGCCAGCCCTGGAAAGCTTCTTCTTTAAGGGAGCGTTTGCTCTGCCTTTAGCGCACTTTACCCAGTGTGGCTGGCATTACATTCCCCCCTCACGTCTGCTCAACCTTTTAGATCACTGTGAGATGAAGTGTCCAGCAGCTCTGTACTGCGATTCTCTAGAGGATTAGAAATGGCCAGGACACCAGGAAAACTAGTTCAGGAATTCTAACATGGCATTCTGGGGGCCAAACAAGTGTCTGGCACCTATCTCCAAAATTATCTACCTGCTCGCAGAATTTCATATTACGGGACAAATTTCATTGATGGACACATTCCAAGAGGTAATAACAGACTCAGGTGAAAATTGTTTTTCCCATGTAACAAAGCTTTTCTAATTTAAAAAAATAAACCCCAGAAGCAGATTAATTTAGAGAAAATCATCAAAATCCAAAAAACTAATAATTTGGAACTGCAAATGGTAAGATGGAGAAAAAAACAATTAAAATTTGACTTTCAAAAGCAAGTAAAAAGAGAAATCAATTCACATTTCAAAAGGTAAAGTT